GCTCTCTTGGCCTAGAAGTTAAGGTGTTCGCCTCTCATTCAAAAGTCCTAGGTTCGAATCCAGATAGCGTCGGAAACTTTTATTCTCCTAAATATTTTCCTCTTTCACATCCTTTCCTGCTCTCTAACTATGTTCTGTCGTCAGCTTTCGTCTCCACTTTCTGCTCCCTCCCAATCACCTCCTTTGCCCCCTTCTCTGGCCCCCTGACTCTATCTGCAGCCTTTCTACTGCTACTCCTTGGCTTCTTCTTACTGCTGTCTTTTAGCCTCACCCCTGATCTTATGATAGGTAAGATCTACACCTTGCTTTCTCGAATAAGGGCGAAAAATCTCGGAGGTCCTGTGTGCAAATTGCGCATGTAAAGATCCCTGGGTGGTCCAAAAATCGACAAGAGTGGGCTTCGGCCGCCACCCGGGCAAAATTCAAAATTTCCTAAAAACTGGCGTTCATATGACCTTATGCAATTTACAGGCGCCATAAAACACTTAACAAAGAAAAAGTACATTAAAAAAAAAATATCCTTTTCCAGCAAGGCCAAGAACTTTGAGATCTATTAAGATGCAGACATGTTCATGAACAACCAAGTAAACCGTGTCTCTTGATGTATGCACCTAGATCTCAGAAGAATCAGGAACATAAGGCACCTTATTTCAACTGTTACTGCATATATGCTTTCCGTCTCTTTTTTCTCTTGACTATTGCAATTATGCACTGTCCGGTATCTCATGTGAGAGAATGAGGAAATTGTAAGTGGCCAAAAATGACAGCGCAAGACTAGATTTAGTTCGGAATAAAGAGAAGAAAGATCCTGGATCAAAAATGTTAAACGCTGTGGACTGGCTTTAAGTTGAAAAAGATAATCCAATATAAAGTTTCTGCCATCTGTTACAAATTAATGTCTTAACAAAGAAAGATCTATCAAACCTGTCTGAGCTTTTAGCACCAAGTGTTCAATCCCATCAATTTAAGTCATCCACCGACACAACAAAATTCAGAGACCCTAGAAACAAATTAAAAGTTTTGGTGTGAGAAGTTTTTCATTTTTTGCCTTAAAGTTTGGAACAACTCCTGGCCCCAGGACCTCATAGAAACAAAAGATCCTAGTACGATACCTCAACACTCATTCGTTTAAGTCTTCGTTGCAGTGTGTTCGTAAGTCCAGATATGTTTTGTTTCCACTACTCTCCTCACGTGTATATAATTAATATATGGTTGGTTCTTGTTCATGTGAAATGTTTTTATCTTGTGCGAATGAAGAATTACGCTAACTGATCATGTGGTCAAAGTAAAGCGCTCAGAGCTGTACTCGTAAGGGATACAACGCTATATAAATGCAATCTATTGTTTTTATTATCACGATCATTATTATTAATGTGTTCATGTGTGTCTATTGTGTATTCGATAGGTCTTAAGTTCATAGCGTATGCATGCAGTTTTTCTGCAATAAAGTAACTGATAAAGTATCCTTACATGGCTGGCCACTATGTGCAGGGGCGTGTTCCCTTTTTGATCCCTCAGATTAGCTGCGACCCCTCTCTTCAGCATCATCTCCACTACCTCAATGTTGTGGCTCGCAGCCGCCAGGTGGATCAATGGATAACCCAGCGTCTCCTGACCTTTGACCTCGGCGCCACGTCTGATCAGAAGCGAGGCTACTTCAAAATGGCCGGCTGTCACGGCGGAGTGCAGAGGCGTGTATCTTTTCTTATTATGCGCTTTAACAGAACCGCCTGCGAGGATGATATCGTCGATAATGTTGATGAGACCGTAGGCAGCAGCGAGGTGGAGGGCCGTATCTCCTTCATTATTAACCGGGTGGTGACCGATGGAGGCGATTTTAGACGAGAACACTATCTTAAAGGCTTCCAGATTTTTCAGGATGACGGCTGTGGCGAGAGGTGTTTTCCCGTCTACCATGAAGTTGACATGAGCACCATTTCGCACGAGGTTTTCCAACTTTTTGTTCTCACCGTCCTTAATGTACACATGCAGCATGCAGCTTCTTGATAACGGCAGCTCTAAATCAAGATTGAGCTTTAGGTAGCTCTTCAAATATTCGCCAATAGGCAATGAGTCAATTCTACTTAGGGTGTTTCTTACTCCTAACATGTCTCGAATTTTCAACCGTACCTGGAACTGAAGGGAAGCAGGTACTCGTGAACGCATCCAGGCCGAAGTTTTCCTCTCGATAGCCCTGTATGGATCAACAAGATGGGGGTTCTTGCTCACTTGTGGTAAAACCAGACTTGAGGACAGACCACCAGGGTATGGGTAGGTTGCTTCCTTCAAAACTTTCAGCAGGAAATATCGCTCACGGAGTTTGTCGGGCTGAGCTCCGAGCGGAGCAGCTTCTATTGCCCACGCCAGAGGAGACTTCACTTCCGTATTACCAAGACTACAAGCCAAGATTTCCTCTCGGCAGTTTGCCCCATAGTACACCAGGAGTCTGGCAATCTCGAAGGCAGGCATAGTTTGAAAAAGAGCACTCTGAAAGGGTGTTTGAGGGAATACGTCAGACACTTCCAAATTGCATCCGTTTTCTGCTAGTAAACAAACACCGAAGACATCTTTGTAGTCCACAGCATAGTGCAAAGCCGTGCGTCCTGTAGAGTCTTGGGCGTCCAAGTCACAGCCAGCGTCGATCAGCATCTGGCACATCTCTAACATGTCGGAGATTTTATGATTTTCACACACAAGGAAGTTGCCTATCGGCGGGAGAGACATCATCAGTGGCGTCACTCCAGATTTGCCGGGCAAGTTCACTTGACAGCCTTTCTGAATGAGCACTCGTACACAGTTGATGCTGGTCCTTATGCATGCACCATAAAGAGGAGTTTCTCCATCATTATCCACGTTGTCTAAGTCGGCACCATTACTAATCAGCTCTTCCGCAGTCTCATGGTGATCGCCCCAACAGCATGCACTCAGGGGTGTAGCTCCATTGATGTCATGATGGTCGATGCTTGGGCACGTAGACAAAATCTCTAGATCTAGCAGGGAAATAAAGTTAGTTATATAATATATTATATCCTAGTGGTAATTAAACACAAAATCAAATCGATATCATTATTATTATAATAAATGATGTCATCTATTTACTTCTAGTAAAATTGGCACAAAAGTGATCATTCAGCTTTAGTTAGAGGTATCCTTATACCGGCGTGGAAAGGAGCTGGCCACCCTACCACAATATGCCAAAGGCCCAGGAAGCTGTCCCACTAACAAGGCAATCCTCAAAGTCTAGATCGGATGCTGAAACAACTTTACTTTTTTAAATCCTTATACACAGAAACAAGAGATATTTAGTAAAGAGTGAAAAAGTAGAACCAACACATGGCGCATCCTCCCCCCCCCTCTCAAAAAACCCATTTACTCCTGCTGTACGTTGTGGAAGAACTAACATGGCAACTTGTGGAGCTCTGAGGTTTCAATCCGAGAGCTGCAATTTATTTTCTTCCCCAGTGGATCATTTTCTATGAGCCTGAGTCTGTCTGTCTGTCTGTCTGTCTGTCTGGCTGTCTGTTTGTCTGTCTGTCTGTCTGTCTGTCTGTCTGTCTGTCTGTCTGGCAGGCAGGTTGGCAGATGTTCATTGACCCATTGCTATGCTTATTTGCGAAGAACGCCGGTTCTGTACGTGGTATTTTGATGTCTTCTAATTTTTTCTTTTATTACTAAAAAAAATTACAGAGAGTAGAACATATATTAAGGTAAATCGTACAAACCCTTAACATAGCAAGTGAATCCTTTTTTTGCCGTAACGAACAACGGGGTTCTGCCAAATACGTTCTTGGCCATTGGATCAAAGTCATGTCGTGCCATAATCTCGTCCATGATTTCAAAATTCTCGAATTCCACAGCAAGAGTGAAGGCTGTCTCGTTCTCATGCACAGTGTTGATATCAGCGCCTGACTTTATGAGCTTCCTTGCCTCCTTATTTTTGTCGTCCCAGATTGCCTTGTGGAGGTCTATGAGGGAAGAGGGTGCGGCTTTTGCAGACTGGCTTTCGGGCAACTGAGAGGGAATGGTAGGGAAGAGGTGGAGAGGTTGGGGGGGTGTGCAATGG